AAAAGTTATGAATGAACGCTGTTTTTCTCACAGCCACCCTGTAACAGTTTTCATTTCCGAAAAAAAAAAAAAAAAAAATATGTCGATGATAGAAAAAGAAGAGTGATCCATAAAACGACGAGAAATTCGACGAGAGCGTCGAAGAGGGCGGATTCGAGAAGGATATAGAGAGGAGAAAGAGAGAGACGTGGGAAGAAGAACGCGTCGCATCGACCGACGATCAGCTGAGTAGAAGCCCGAAGCTACGCGACGAAACTGGTTCCCGCTGTTGGCGGGAAACGCCGGCCAATCGTACGTCGTCGTTTGGAATGCCGTTCGGCGAAGCTTCGACGACGCTTCTGGGAAGCCGAAGAGCCTCTCCGGGAGAGAGAGAGCATTTGCATTCACCGCCAGAGAGATGCGCGTTTTATCTCGTACGTACAGTCAAACACACCCGAGAATTATATAGTCTCGTCGCGAGTTTCTCGCCTTCGTTCTTTTTTTCGCGGACTATCAACGTCTCGCTTATTATGAGAATCCAGAAAGTATCCGGGAAATAATTGGCAGATTCTTTCGAGTTTTTTCGTTTTTATGGTTTTTATGTCGTACAGGCTCCTCATCACTGAATGAAAAGGGAAAAGAGTAATTTAAATGGGATAATCGGTGCAAGAGAAGGAAGAAAGCAAAAATGTCAGCAAAAGAAAATTCTGAGATTTTTTTCACAGAAATTTCTTTCGTCCTCCATTTTTCTTAGAATCTTATTCTCTAGATTCTTTTTGGGGGATAGCCTAGCCCATAGTTCCTTTTTTAATGCCACGCCTTCGCCGTGAGTATAAGTAAAATTGATGATGTATCCCTATTTCGTCCTCTGCTTTTTTTAAAACGAAATAATATACGATACAAAACAGAAAGATTTTCTGTAAAAATTTCAATATTTTTTACATACCTATTTATAAGAAGATTTAGATTCAATATATAAATTTACTTTGTTTATCCATCAGAATTATATAAGATTATTCAACAAGAATTTAAAATAAAAAAATCAAGACTTAATAAATTTTGTAATGTCTGTTTTAAATTGTATTTACAGAAAATATTTTTAAAAAGATTCAGTGATAATTTTCAAAAATTATATATGCGTGGAATACTTCCTCTTTCTTCAAAAAGTTTTGATAAAGTACTCCTAATAAATATGTTAAATGCAAATTATTCATTTAATAGAGTTTTACAAATCTTCATCTCACTCTCCTTACAAATTCACCCCTAATAAATCTACACAATTTTAATGTTTTAATTCATTCGCAATTTCTTTCTCGATCCAAGTCATCTTCATGACACTTGCGTATCTTCTTCTTCTATTTCCTGATTAGCTTGCACGCGCAATATTGGTATCTAACGTTTTCACGATAAAACTTCTCGGAAAAGAAGAGGACGAGGGACAAAATAGTTCAAACATCTCGGTTATCGCAATGTACCAAGATAACGTTTAAAGTGCGCCTGCGTATGTGCGGCGTCTTTAATGCGGCCGACAAAAATGAAACGCACGTAGAATCAGCTGCTTCCTCGCATTCGGCTGGGAACGATACAATAAACAGTACTGTTATAAAAAGAAACGTCAACGACTAAAATTCTGCATTGCATCGCTCGTCCTTTTCACCCTATACTAAATAATCGACATTCAGTATTCTCAAAATAGAAGCCATGTTTTTGTCAGCCGCATTAAATATATAAGAAAATAGAAAAAAGTAGAATATGAATATCAGTCGTGGATTTATTGGCCCTAATAAAATAGTCATCATTTTTGTTTTTTAATTAAGTGAATTTTGGCATAAAATTGTCCTGAATATCAGTCGTGGATTTATTGGCCCTAATAAAATAGTCATCATTTTTGTTTTTTAATTAAGTAAATTTTGGGATAAAATTGTCCTTGTTCATTCCAGAGAATAATTTTGTAATAAATGTCCATTTTGAAAAGTTAAGATTTTGAAAATCAACTTTTTATTTTTAAAATGCAAAAAGTAGAATCCCTAATATCAGCGTGAATTTATTGGTTCTAATAAAGTAGTCATCATTTTTTTTTTAATAGCGATTTTGACATAAAATTGTCATCGTTAATTCTTCAGAGAATAATTTGATAATAAATGTCCATTTGAAAAATTAAATTTTAAAAATTAATTCAAGGCAAGAAATATATTTCCGATTGATTGAGCAGAAATTCGTACATAATATTAGAAGAATCATAAATTACAATTAAAAAATATTTTTTACAAAATTATTTTTCTTTTAAAATTCTAAAATTTATTCTAAAAATTGAACAAAAATATATATTAATCGTTAATGGTGAAAAAATCAAACGCGCGCAACTATGTATCAAAAATCTGAACACGAATAGATCGAGATGAAAATTCTACCCTGTTATCTCAGATTCTAGCACCTGACCATGAAGGTTTTGACCGTTAGACTATTCGAAATACTACGTCGTAGAACACGTTCTAAGAAAGTAGTGGACTTTCAGTATACGGAGAGTCGTATATGTTCTCTTCATACCAAGATAAATAGAGGCGATGAGAAGAAGTAGAAGGGGCGTAGAACGAGTCGCGGGGTAGAGAGGCGGTTAGTAGATGAGAAAGTAGATGCTTGGAGCCAACATCAAGAGAGGCCCTTAAAGAGGCGGCATACCAAGAGAAAATAAATTCCTTGCCGCAGGACAAAGGAAACACGAATATTTTTCCGTGTTTTTCCCGATTACGCAGTATCTTTCTACTTTCTCGCGCGTTCTTTGATCAACTCCTAACAATATAAAAGAAAAAATTTCGAGATTGCAAGATTCGACACAATTTTAGATTGTGAGACAAATAAATAAATTGTTTAATAAATCGTAGAAATTAATTTTTTTCCTATAACCGACCAGATATAAAATGAAACACGTAAATATCCAATAAAATTATGGATACATAATCTGAAATATACATGTACTTCACATCAACATTCCGTGAACCACGATACACAAAGGACAAAGGACGTAGGTGTGGTTTTTCAAAGACGTGTATCCGGTTCTTTTTACCCATCAGCGTTTCGGATATCCCACGTTATTTTACACCCTTCTTCTTCTTCTTATCGAACATCTAAGACGCGTAATTAAATCTGCGGGACCACCCGAAACTTAGGCGCAGACAGACATGGATCTAAATTGGAGAAAATTTTGGAGCAAGAGGAAAATTTAAAAGGTCTAATAAAATAATTTTCACCGTCCAGTGATGCATATGGCGAACAATTTGTTATCCTACAGTAGAAGCAAAATAAAAGATAAAAATCTTTAGCTTCCATGTATATTCTTTAAAGAATGCTTACAGTTATTATATAAGAGTATTTTCGGATTTCTAATTGCGTTCTTCGATTTTATCAAGATGTAATATAGCAAAAAAGCAAATCAATCTCTTATAGAATTGCTGCATTTATCCAATGTATAGTTAAAGAGTGTCTTATATATAATATTATTAATAAATACCTACACTGAAAAAAATTTATTCAATTGTATTTATTTCAATACTGCCAAATGAATCATTTAGTTGAAACTAATAATATTGATTTGATATGAAAATATTTATAAGAAAATCCTTTTCAAAACAAATAAATATTTATTTATTTCAAATAAATGATTCATTCGGCAGTATTGAAATAGATATTAATTTAGTCATTTTTTTTTCCAGTGTAGCAGAAAATTTTAAAAATATAAAAGAGACATTATTCCGACATTTTAATCATAAATATATTATATTTTTATCTCCTTTATTTCGTAAAAGAAAAATACGCAAAGAGAGCATGTGCAATAACCAAAATGACGGGATAAAGCAGAACATTTCCTCTTTTATATCGAGGAAACATAAAATAAGTCGTCACAGGAAGCATAAAGGCTTAGCGACAAGAGCGCTGTCATTTCCCGCCAGTCTTGGATTAAAAAAATAATCATAGAGGGAGGGAGAAAGAAGTGGGAGAAACGAGAGGGAAGTCGAGAAAGCATGAGTCCTGCGTCTGAAGTTCGTAGCTTGAACTTAAACCCGGAGTTTTTGAGTATACAACATGGTGTATCCGCTGTATACGACGACGCGAGACCAAAAGCTGAGGTGAGAAAGGAGCGAGATTCTATGAATGAACCAGAGAGCATGAATGGAGCCAGCGGTGGCGATGTAACGAGTGGAAAAGCGAAGGGGCAAATTCTCACGCAACGGCGAACGCGTTCCTACGAATTATTCTAATAATCGTGCGACTATTTCTGATCGCGCGCCTTTTACTTTGAAGTCGGTAAGACACCGCGATACATTTCAGGAGCACGTTTCGGTGTCGGACAAGCGTGGATTCGAAAATCCGGAGTCTTAAAAAGGATTTCAGCAGCTGTGATAGCTTATGCAGATTATTTTTGTCACGCCGTACAAATACGGCTTTTTTTTTTTAATTAACTTTTATTTTTTTAAATTAAGAAATATTTCTTTCTTGACAGCTTTCATAATTTTTTTTAGAAATAGAGGTTCTAATAATAAAATTAAAAAAAATTAAATAGAGATTCTAATAATAAAAATAAAATTCTTATTTTGATGAACCTTTTTCTCTTAATTTTACTTTAAAAATTTTTTAAAAATGTTATCAAAATGTTACGTATTTTTGCGGTGAATCTTGATCGCAAAGAGGCAATATTGCAATATACCTAATGAAGTGCTCCCGAATGCAATAATGTGATACAGATAAATGTGGACTCACCTTTTGCTTCTTCGGTCGTTCGTGAGATACGAAATATATATTTTGACAACTTTCATAATTTTCTTAGAAAAAAACAGAGGTTCGAATAATAAAAATAAAATAGCTCTTGTTATGACACATTTGACGAACCTTTTACTCAATTTTAAAAATATGAAAATGTTATGTATTTTTGCTGCGAATCTTGATCGCAAAAAATGTTGCAATACAGCTAACGAAAAGTGTTTCCGAATGCAACAATGTGATAAGATAGATAAATGTGGACTCACCCTTCGCCCCTTCGATCGTTCGGAAGATGCAAGGCGCCGACGGTATCTGAAAACAGAAAGAAAGAGAACGTGAAATTAAAACAAGCTAGGTCGCCACCGAAATCCACTGTTACAGGAAGAATTCGCGCGCATTCTCTTTTTCACCTTTTCGGGAGAGAATTAAAATGACAATTGGTCGAGAAATCACAATAAATATAAAAATCACATTCGTCGGGAGGAGGAATTGTCCGCGAACAAAGAGCCGGGGTCCGTGATTACTAGGGCAGAGAACACATGTTCTCTTTCACAGGGAGGCCGCACATGGAGCCCGATTTTTCTATTATCTCGCGAATTTCGCAACCGCATATGCAAAACGTAGACTGGAATGAATCGCGGTCTAGTTCGTTCGTTATTTTTTTAAAGCCCTTTTCCTTTCTCCCTTTGCGATAATAATCGGCCCGAAACGTATAGACGAGGTTGCGGAGGCACGCAGATAATGATCGATCTTCTCGTTTCCAAGAATTGTCATGTCACTATTTTCTCGTCTATTTTTCTGTCGTCGCATTAAAACCAACCACCATCTGCATACAACTCTCTCGACATGCATGCCCTGTATTTCAATCAGTTGAATCTCATTTCGAGGCGATCCTTATGTATGCGGCAAGTGTGCCCTCGCCAGGTATCTTGAAACCCGAGAATAAATATAGTTCGCATGTGCGTGCCATGTGGGGCAAGAAAGTTTGTGTTAACCTAAGGTTTCGCCGCGGGATCATTTCCATCCGTTTGTTACGGATGGTTTGATTACTAGGAAAAAATCAATTTCATTTCTCGACATTTTGCAAACGCGTCCGGTTGAATTTATAATATAATTTTCTAACATTTTAATTAATTTATATTATACGCGTATCTCTCAGACAATTAAAGAAAACTATGCAGGATTTATAAAATATATCACTTCGTGATATCTAGCAATGATTCTGTTAATTCGCGTTGACTTCCGTTCTCGTCCCGCGCAAAATCATCCCCTGTCTCTCTCTCTCTCCTACACTTATAATGTAAGACCAGTCCGCAGTTAGGCCGGAAGAATGCGAGACGTGGAGGGACCCCGGTCGTTTAATCGTTTTATGTCGCACCAATGAGAAGACGAGGGATACGAAGCGTTAAGCATCCTCAACAACTATGTAGCATATGCGTTTCCTATCGTATCTTCCATCCCGCATTGTACAATTTCGAGAGATATAATCAATTATGCAGTTATTAAACCATCTTTCCTTCCGTACGTGTAGAGATTAATTTATTTTTTTTACTTAAGAGATTATTTATTTCACATTTTATGTATTATATATTATTTAATATAATATTTTTTATATATTATATTAATATAATATATTTTTATATAATATGTTATTTATTTAATATATTTATTTTATTGAAAACGATACAAGAACACAATCTCTTCTAACAAATTTATACTGGGTATCGATTAAAAGATATGTGTGAATATGCTGTCATTGAATATCTTTATCTGTCAAAAACAGCGTGAATTAAAAACTTTAGTTTGACATACATTTACATGATTAATAATTTGGAATTTGTATATGTATATTAACATAATTAATATAACTATTTTGTATCTATATTGTATTATATCTTCGTCTTTCTATCTACCGCCGCGAGCGATTTTATCTCTCGAATACAAGGACTCCTAACTAAGAGCATCTCTCGCTCGGGACAACTCACCTCACGTCAAAACGAGAGATGATGTTGGACAAAGGACAGGCGGATTCCGCTGGAGGAATTTTCTTTTCTCGGACATCGACCATTGGCCGATTTTCCATTCGATCTCTATCTCGGAGGATGAATGAGGTGCACCTTTCGAGGGCGGTCATCGAGATTCAATCGAACGTCGGTCGAGGGACACTGAATCGCGTGAAAAGACATTTTCGCAGATTGAATGCCAAAAAGTACACGCGCGAAGTCGAACTATGTTAAAAGGACGAATCCTATACCCGACTATACCGGATAGCGAGACGTGTAAAAGAGGCGCGAGGCGCATCTCCTGCATGTATATAGGGTGAAAAGCAGGGTTGAGTAAGTTAATGATTTTTTAAACTAAGTTAAGTTAAAGTTAGTTGCTTATAAAATTAATTTAGTTCAGTTAAAAGCTGCATGAACAAAAAATTAACTCCGTTAAGTTAACTGAAGTTAAATCAAAATTTAATTTTTAAAAACATGATTTATATAAATTAGAATTTTGTTATACATCAGAATTTAATTTGATTTTTATATAATTATAAATATAATTTTGGATTTATTACATCAGATCAAATGAAACTTATATACTTTACAACATAAAAAATAAACAATATAAACTTAAAAATTAATAAATAATTTGTTAATTACGCTTCTAACTTATATATTTTGTGTTTATATAAGATTTAAAATTAACATTTATTTGATAAAAATGTAAAACATTTATTTTTCGATAATCTTACCTAAATACTTTTATACACGAAATAACAAGATCAACTGTAAAGAAAACAGATAATTGTTCAAAAAAGTATGTACTTTGCAACATGCAGCTGCTACTTTTTCTTTTATATAAAAAATTGTTAACGTCAAACCTTATAACTCCATAAGTACTTGATGGAAAAATATTTTATCGTAGTGTTTTGAAAAGCTCTCGGGGTAAGCTACAAGAATGTACATTGAAAAATGGGAGTTTCCATGCAAGAAATGAAAGAATTAACCTTATTCCTGTTACTTTCAAACGATTCACCAAGGTCAAACTAATGACACCATCTTATGTCCCCCTGAAAAAACTTGTATGAATAATTTTTCTCTAAAATACTTCGCTTCGGAGAGAGATAGAAGTCTGTAACACTTAAAAAATGCACCCTGTATATCTGCTTACTCTACGTAACGTGCAGACTTCCTGCGGAAGTCGAGGCATTCGCCGTGACACGCACCCTTCGTACTTCGCCCCCCGAGTTGGTTCAGCTAAGGTAGTATAATACGATAGACGCGAATTTCTCCAGGCGGAGGTCTGTAATCGAGAACCTTGGCCTCGTAAGGCCTCGGTTCAACGTATCGTTATACTTTCAACGTTCCTTCTTCTCGGTTCGCTTCCCTCACGTCGATATGCTCGTGCCACACGTTGCCCTTTTACCCAAGCGAATTTCCTGAGCCTGTCACGCGAAAAAGTATCCCTACGTCAAAAAGTATCGCGCGCGATCCTTTGTGCAGGCCACGAATAATTGGACAAAGTGACGTGTTGAATCGTTTCATTAAATTTTACTTCCCCTCGAATTTTCATTCAAAATTTCATCGCTAGATTAGATAGTTGTATATATGTATGTCTCCTTTTAAGATTTAGTAATTTTTAAAAATAGTTTTTAACGAGACAATCGAGTAAGGACATTAATAGGACTTTGTAGAATTTTTTACTAATGTATTAGATTTCTTAGTAATATTTGATGTAGTTTTTCGATTTTGTACACGCTGAAGAGAAAAAGGATAGAAACGTTCGCGAATTGTATAAATGTAATTGATATTAAATAAATTTAATAAGTTTTTATGTATATTATTAATTAATTTTATTTTCCCTCTCTAATCTAAACTAATAATATTCATTTAATGTGGAAAATATTTATTTTATATAAGAAAATTCTTTTCAAAACAAATATTTATTTGTTTCCAATAAATGATTTATTAGGCAACTACATCTTCATTATCTTAATTATTAGGCTGCTACTAAAAATAATGATAGATAAAATAATGTGATTTTTTCATTATTATCATTAAAAAACAAATTTAACAAAACGTTAATTAAACATGTAAATATATTAAATATACATTAATTTAATATACGATATTTATTTAAATATATATATATATATATATATATATATATATTTTTTTTTTTAATTAACAAAATAATCAAGTCAACAATTTTTTTCTCAGAGAGTGCACATATTTAAAAAGATTCCCATTTTCTCAAAATTATGTAACGTTAATCAAACTCGGCCGAAATGTAAAAACCGATGTGATGTTGACCTAATGAAAGATCCCAACAAAAGGCGACATGAAAAACCATTATACAGGGTAAACCGTAAAACGCTCATCGATCCATCTGCATGTCTGTCGACATGTGTTGGCAAGTCGTAAGTAATTGATAACAATGTTACGCCGATGCAAACCTATATAGCCATGTATTTCGACATGAGAGGTCAACTGCGAACGTCAGCGATCGGTCTCGACCTTCTCTCTCTCTCTCTCCCCATATTAATTAACGCGACATTCCCCGACAGTCGCAGCCGCTGCGGCTGCGTAACATGTGCAAGTACACTTTCAACGGTCGTGACTCCAGTTTAGAGCAAAAGCCACGAAGCAAAGCGTGCGTGCATGGCAAGCAGGCACCAAATCATAATACTAATACCGCGCGAGGAAGGGAAAAAGTGAGAGAGAGAGAGAGAGAAGAGTATCGAGAACACTTCTAATTTTAGATTAACGCCTCTCTCACGACATCCGTTTCCTACGCAGGCATATACCAGAACCACGTATGTATATACCTATATTCCTGCCAGCCGTTTCCCGCCAGCGTGAAACACTCGTACGATTACAAGGGGTACAAATCCCGCGAGTGCGGGATGTTAAAAATAAATATAAGCAATCTGCGCCCCGAGATCCGTTCCAGGACAAATTTCGTTGGCCCACCCCCGCGAGCTCGAGTGCTGGATATAGACAACACACGTGTGCAAAGGAGGTCCTTCAGAGAAATATTCGGGCCCGAATATACGATAGATAAAATCCTTGTGACTATATGTATAGTCACGCATAAACTGTTCTCTTGTGTATTTATTTTATTTATTTTATTTATGTAATTACGTTAATTACAACTATTCTTAATACAATAGGAGCGATTAATTAATAATCGAATGTTGTCGAAGTTATTTCGAATTCGATTAAAATGATTTATTTCTAATTAACCTGCTCCGATTTTATTTGTGGATATGTTATATCAGAGGAATTTTTAATTATTACCGATTGATAAATGTGTAATTATAA